GGGTGTAGTAGGGCACGGACTCGTCAAACCGGACGTCACGGGAGTCTAGGAACTGGTGGAGGGGAGGGTGGTAAAAGGACCAGTCGGCAGATTCCACTGGGAAACCAAGGAAGACATAGGGGACAAGTGCAAGGCAGCCCCAGACTCGAAAGGCCGACCCGACACCAGGGGAACCAGTCCAAAGACTGGTCGGTGAAGCCTCGGGCCGCGAGACACGGGCTGGAGGTTCAGCTGGTGTGCGGCGTAGCGAACCGCGTGGGGCCACAGAAAATGGGGCGCACGGGCATGGATCATGGACGTGCGGGCGATGTCCATGACCAGGCCTATGCGGCGCTCAGCAACCCCATTCTGCTGTGGGGACTCTGGCAGCGTCCAGGACTGGGTGATGCCCTGTTCGCCGCAGAATCCGCCGAGAATGCCGGAGCGAAACTCGCCCCCACGGTCGGAGTGGAGACAACTGACTCGACGACCACGAGTGCCCTCAGTGGCTAGAAGCCACCTGATCAGCGTAGCAGTCACCTCGGGCTTCTTCGCAAGAGGGAACACTGTGGTGTACCTGGAGAAGTCGTCGACGACCACCAGAAAGTAACGCTCTCTCCCAGACCCCTGCGTCGGGGCAGGGCCCCAGACGTCCAAGTGGAGAGTCTCGAAGGGAGCGGTGGCCGGACGAAGGGAGGAGGAGTGGGGAGTGGCGCGTAAGCGACCGGCGACGCACGGAGAGCAAGGAGGGGCAAGCGAGAGAGGGAGCGACGGGAAGGTGCGTGGGAGACCTGAGACAAGTCCCTGACTGAGCATGCCACGTAGGCGAGGGAGCGATGGGTGGCCAAGGCGGTGGTGCCACAGGACGGTGCGGTGGGTGAGAGAGCGACAGGAGCAAGACGCAGCGACTGGACTGGACACAGCGATCGGACCGGACACTACTACCTGGCTAGACACAGCAACTGGACTGGGGACCTGGGCCGGAGGGGACGCAACGACCTGAGGGGAGGACGCGACCGGGGAGCGCTCGGTGTGGAGAACGTAGAGACCGGAGCGGGGCTCCCTGGTGAACGTGGCCAGAACAGCACCTGTGCTAGCGTCTGTACAGACTGCAGTCCGCCCACCCCCCACGAAGGTAACCGTGATCCCCCTGTCCTGGAGGTATCCAACACCCACCAAGTTCCGAGTGAACGAGGGGATGTGGAGGCCGCGCAGGACACCAGAGGGGACCACAGGGCACGGGAGGGTGGTGGAGCTACGCGCAACGGCTGGTCCAGAGGTAGGATCAGCCAGAGCCACCGACACAGGTGTGAGGAGTGGTGTAAGGGTCGTGTGGTCGCGGAAGAAGCACTGAGACGCGCCCGAGTCCAGCGTGAACGACAGAGAGGCCTCAGCCGGAGGGTCACCAGACCCAGTCGCTACACAAGCACCTAGAGCAGCAACACAAGCACCTAAGCTAGACAGGCACAAGGCTACAGTAGCAGGAGGCAAGCAAGCTAAACTACGAACACGCGAGCACACAGATCCATCAGCACTAAAGTCAGCATCAACATACAAAGCATGCTGACGCGCATCGTCCATGGACAGATCAAAGACATCAATCTTACGGGCTAACAGACGAGACCAGCGAGGCGTGGCCGCCAGTGGGCCCCAACGAGCCCGGTAGAGGTCGTCGAGGCGGCGGAAGCACCGCGCAGCAGAGTGGTCGTCGCGACCACAGAGACAGGGGCTGCCCGGCCCGGTGAGGCACCAGTGGGTGCAGGGGCCAGCGTCACGGCGAGGGGGGCGAGGGGCCCAGCTGGAAGAGCTGCTGCTGCGGCCGGTGCTCCCAGGGCCTCCCGGACCCCACTGCGGCGGGGGACCCCAGTGCTGCTGCGGACCCCACTGCAGCGGGGGCCCCCACTGCTGGAACTGCTGCGGTGCCTGCTGCTGCTGCTGTCCCAGCTGCTGCTGCTGTCCCTGCTGTGGCTGGTGCTGCTGTGGCTGCTGCTGCTGGGGGGCAACGCCCCCACCGGTCGGGCCACCACCTGTGGGTGGGCCTGTCTGTCCTGTGCCTCCTCCAAGGCCCCCTCCCCCTGGTGCACCACCGCCGCCGCCGCCGCCGCCTCCGCCACCGCCGCCGCTCCCACCTCCATCGCCACCTCCACCGCCGCCTCCACCGCCCCCACCTCCCCCCTTCCCGCCCTTCTTGCCACTCTTGCCCCGTTTCTGCTAGTTTGCGTCAGAAACGGCAGCAGTGTCCTCAGAGACCGACACAGCAGCAGAGGCGCGGGTAGCGGTGAAAGTGGGAAGCTGAGGGGCGGCACACCCCGCAAAGAGACGGGGGGCCACCGCATCAGTGGCGGAGGCAACGGTGAGGAGACTGCTCTCGATGGTCCCTAGAGCAGTCGCTAGGAGGTCGATAGTGAGCTCAGTGGGGTGCTTCTGAAGAAGCGTGTCGCGGGCAGTGGCAAGGCGGTCAGGGAGGCGGGTGACTAACCAGTGAACAGTGAGCCACATGGGGGGGGGAGCAACCAGAAGCTGTGCGTCGGTACAGGCAGCGCGGAAACCGGCGTCAAGCGAGCGGAGGTGAGTCACTAGGTCGGAAACAGTCGCAAACGAGCCTAGGTCGGGAAAAACAAAAGGCATGAGGAGGCGACTGAGGGAGGCAGAGGAGGGGGTGGAGTAGCGAGCAACAATAGCCTCCCAAACCCCCTGTGCAGTCTCCACCTGGTCAAAGTGGGCGGCCTCAGTTGGGGGGAGAAGCTCCGACAGAGTGAGAGCGGCGGCTGCGTCACGCGAGCGCCACACGTCCCTGGCCAGGACCCGACGGTCGTAGTCCGCCTGGGCCGTAGGGGTCGGCTCCGGGGTGGTCGGCAGGGCGGCGGGGGACGGGGGGGCCTGTAGGGCACCAGACGCGTGAGCCCACAGAGTGGCGCCGTCCTGCCGTTGGCTGGTGAGGAAGCGCGTGGTCTGGCGCTGCCAGGTGCTAAACTCTATCGGGCGTCCCTCCGCATCGAAACGGAGGCGACGGGACTCCATGACTGATGCCATGCTAGAGGCGGCTGGAGCTCGGCAGAGGCTGAGCTAAGAACGAGGAGGACGGCTACTAAAGGTTGGGAGAGAGGCGCCAGCTAGAGGGCTACGAGTGAACCGACGGTGGAGGGAGCACGCGAGGCGAGACGGAGAACGGCTAGGAGCTAGGGAGGAGTCCGCACTACGACTAGCTACCGGAAGAATGAGCGGCTGCCAGCCGCTGAGGCTAAGGCCAGTGACGGGGAGAATGGTGAGGGCCCGGGAAACAGGGCGGAGGAGGGGTGAGGCCGGCCACGTGCCGAGGGTAGGTGCGGAGGTGCAGGGGCGCAACTGGCTCGGGCAGAGGGCCGCGCTAAGGACCGGGCTAGGGGCCGCGGAAGGGGCGCACAACGGGGCACGCGGAGGGGCGGGCGGAGGGCCGCGCTAAGGGACTCGTGGAGGGCGGGCGGAGGGCCGCGCTAAGGGCGCGACGAGGGGCCGCGCGAAGGGCGTGGCGAGGGCCACGCTAAGGGCGTGGCGAGGGGCCGCGCTAAGGGCGTGGCGAGGGCCGCGCTAAGGGCGTGGCGAGGGCCGCGCTAAGGGCGTGGCGAGGGCCGCGCTAAGGGCGTGGCGAGGGGCCGCGCTAGGGGCGTGGCGAGGGCCGGGCCGAGGGGCGTGACGGAGGGGCGGGCCGAGGGCCGCACTAAGGGGCGCGAGGGCGCTAGAAACGCGGAGGGCGCGGAGGGCGCTAGGCGCGACGGAGGGCGCGAGGGCGTGGAACGGAGGGCGCGCTGGCTAGGGCGAGGAGCGAGGATCTAAACCTAACGATGATACCATATCAGAATTAGCATGCAACGGAATGGTTGGGATTAGGGTTTGCAAGCATACAAATAGGAGTCCTACAAATGTTGTACCCTCTAGGGAGTGCCTCACTGCAGCCTATCATAACATTAACATTTGACACTAAGTCCTTCATTCCTATACTGGGGTCTTATAAAAACGACCGTATGTTATGCTACAGGCGAATACGACAAAATCAATATAAGAAAACTCCAGAATTTAGACGAATGCAGCAGTGAATTGAATGCAAAGCACCGTAAAGTAAACAGTACAGTACAGTTCAGCACAGTACAGCGCCTTAGTGAGAAGGGAATACACCCCCAAAGTGCCTGAAATGAGCAATTGGGGCAGCAGAAAGAAAAAAGGGTTCGAAATGTTTATGACTCTTATGTCCATCACTCACTCTGCACTCACTCTGCTCGCTCTGCATTGAATCTATCCATTCGCTGCATTCAATCTATTGGCTCACTCTGCATTCTGCTTTATCCACTCAGACACCACTTAAAGCTGCGGGAGGCTAGTCAGAACAACACGCACTGTGCATTCAATCTATCCACGAGTTCTTCTGCCCAGGAGTCACACCCTCTCTCAACTACTAACACCACCACCTTCGTCCGCAGCACTCACAGAATGTACACACACAGGTGGTGCTACTCTCAGAACAACCCTCACCCTGCATTCAGTCTATCCACGAGTTCTTCTGCTCCCAGCAGGGATTCACACCCTTCAGCTGTTCTTCCCATTACCACCAGCAGCACTCACAGAATGTACACACAACAACGCGACTCAGAGCCCACTCACTCACCCGGCAAGCTGCCGATCCACGAGTTCTTCTGCTCCCAGCAAGGGAGTCACACCCTCTCTCACCCATTATTCATAGCACGCACAGAATGTACGCACATGGGCGGTGCTAGTCAGATCAGAACAACACTCACTGTGCATTCAGTCTGCCCACGAGCTCTTCTCCTCCCAGCAGGGAGTCGCACCCTCTCTCCACCACTACCACCAGCTGCCGCCCACCATGCTCGAGGCACCTCAAACCCTAGATATGAGGAATGGTTGACCCACTCACTGGGCATTCATTCGATCCACAAGTTCTTCTGCTCCCAGCAGGGAGTCCCGCCCTCTCTCCACCACCACACACCACCATCATCCCCACCACTGGCATGCCCATTCTCCACCACCACTCACTGGGAATTCAGTCGATCCACAAGTTCTTCTGCTCCCAGCAGGGAGTCGCATCCTCTCTCCACTGCCACCACCAGCTGCCGCCCGCCACTCCTCCTCTCCACCACCCACGCGTTTCTTCCCACCTTTGATGCCACCTCCTCACTCTCCTCCTCACTTTCCTCCTCACTCTCCTCCTCATCCCCCTCCGCAAGCCACACCTCTCCCGCCTCTTCCACCCCACCCTCTCCTCCCTTCTCTGGACTCATCCCTTTCCTCTCCCCAACAACAGCTACACTCTGCTCCTCCTCGCCTCCCACATCTGCTGCTCCCTCCGTCTCTCTCCCTCCACTATCCCCCTCTTCGCCCTTGGAATTCTCAATCTCTGAATCTTCCCCTCGTGTGCCGGCCGGATGTTGTTCCTTCCAGCCTGCACCGGGCACAGACGCGAGGTCAGTGGGAAAAGCAGCAGTGTGCAAGTGACATGATTTGCTTCTTTCAGATTTCTCAAAACTCCGGAGAAATCTCAGCCCCTTGTGTGCTGGCTGGATGTTGTTCCTTCCAGCCTGCACTGGGCACAGAAGCGTGGTCAGTGGGGAGAGCAGGAGAGCAGTCAGAGGGAAGAGCAGAATGGGGACACTGGGAGCAGCAGCAGCAGAAGCTGCCGGTTCGGCAATCGCTTCAGTAAAAGCAATAACAGGAGAATAGCAGCAGCAACAGTAGCAGCAACAGTAGCAGCAACAGTAGCATCAACAGTAGCAGCAACAGTAGCAGCAACAGTAGCAGCAACAGTAGTAGCAACAGTAGCAGCAACAGTAGCAGCAACAGTAGCAGCAACAGTAGCAGCAACAGTAGCAGCACCAGTAGCAGCAACAGTAGCAGCAACAGTAGCAGCACCAGTAGCAGCAACAGAAGCAGCAACAGAAGTAGCAACCGTAGCAGCAACAGAAGCAGCAACAGTAGCAGCAACAGTAGCAGCAACAGAAGTAGCAACAGCAGCAACAGAAGCAGCAACAGAAGCAGCAACAGTAGCAGCAACAGTAGCAGCAACAGTAGCAGCAACAGGAGCAGCAACAGTAGCAGCAACAGGAGCTGCAACAGAAGCAGCAACAGTAGCAGCAACAGTAGCAGCAACAGAAGTAGCAACAGTAGCAGCAACAGAAGCAGCAACAGTAGCAGCAACAGTAGCAGCAACAGTAGCAGCAACAGTAGCAGCAACAGTAGCAGCAACAGTAGCAGCAACAGTAGCAGCAACAGGAGCAGCAACAGGAGCAGCAACAGGAGCAGCAACAGGAGCAGCAACAGTAGCAGCAACAGTAGCAGCAACAGTAGTAGCACCAGTAGCAGCAACAGAAGCAGCAACAGAAGTAGCAACCGTAGCAGCAACAGAAGCAGCAACAGTAGCAGCAACAGTAGCAGCAACAGAAGTAGCAACAGTAGCAACAGAAGCAGCAACAGAAGCAGCAACAGTAGCAGCAACAGTAGCAGCAACAGTAGCAGCAACAGTAGCAGCAACAGGAGCAGCAACAGTAGCAGCAACAGGAGCTGCAACAGAAGCAGCAACAGTAGCAGCAACAGTAGCAGCAACAGAAGTAGCAACAGTAGCAGCAACAGAAGCAGCAACAGTAGCAGCAACAGTAGCAGCAACAGTAGCAGCAACAGTAGCAGCAACAGTAGCAGCAACAGGAGCAGCAACAGTAGCAGCAACAGGAGCAGCAACAGTAGCAGCAACAGTAGCAGCAACAGTAGCAGCAACAGTAGCAGCATCAGGAGCAGCAACAGTAGCAGCAACAGTAGCAGCAACAGTAGCAGCAACAGGAGCAGCAACAGTAGCAGCAACAGTAGCAGCAACAGGAGCAGCAACAGTAGCAGCAACAGTAGCAGCAACAGTAGTAGCACCAGTAGCAGCAACAGAAGCAGCAACAGAAGTAGCAACCGTAGCAGCAACAGAAGCAGCAACAGTAGCAGCAACAGTAGCAGCAACAGAAGTAGCAACAGTAGCAACAGAAGCAGCAACAGAAGCAGCAACAGTAGCAGCAACAGTAGCAGCAACAGTAGCAGCAACAGTAGCAGCAACAGAAGTAGCAACAGTAGCAGCAACAGAAGCAGCAACAGTAGCAGCAACAGAAGTAGCAACAGTAGCAGCAACAGGAGCAGCAACAGTAGCAGCAACAGGAGCAGCAACAGTAGCAGCAACAGGAGCAGCAACAGTAGCAGCAACAGTAGCAGCAACAGTAGCAGCAACAGGAGCAGCAACAGTAGCAGCAACAGGAGCTGCAACAGAAGCAGCAACAGTAGCAGCAACAGTAGCAGCAACAGAAGTAGCAACAGTAGCAGCAACAGAAGCAGCAACAGTAGCAGCAACAGTAGCAGCAACAGTAGCAGCAACAGTAGCAGCAACAGGAGCAGCAACAGTAGCAGCAACAGGAGCAGCAACAGTAGCAGCAACAGTAGCAGCAACAGTAGCAGCAACAGTAGTAGCAACAGTAGCAGCATCAGGAGCAGCAACAGTAGCAGCAACAGTAGCAGCAACAGTAGCAGCAACAGGAGCAGCAACAGTAGCAGCAACAGTAGCAGCAACAGGAGCAGCAACAGTAGCAGCAACAGTAGCAGCAACAGGAGCAGCAACAGTAGCAGCAACAGTAGCAGCAACAGGAGCAGCAACAGGAGCAGCAACAGTAGCAGCAACAGTAGCAGCAACAGGAGCAGCAACAGTAGCAGCAACAGTAGCAGCAACAGTAGCAGCAACAGGAGCAGCAACAGTAGCAGCAACAGGAGCAGCAACAGTAGCAGCAACAGTAGCAGCAACAGGAGCAGCAACAGGAGCACGAGACGCAGGAGAATCAGCACAGACGCTTCTCTTTCCTGGCCTTGCATGAATACCTTTCTCTCCTCTTTCTGCCCTCCCAACGACCGCATCTCTTCTCTTTCTTTCTCCCCCCTGCACTCTCAGCATCTCCCTCCTCTGCTGCTGCCTGTCCGCCTCGTGTCTCATCTGGTTCAGCACTGCAAGGGAATCCTGCAGACGCCATAGTTTCAGTGGCACAAGGATGGGAAAGGGAGAAATGGACCGGGGGGTTGCAAGAATGCGAAGGCAACGGGGAAGGCAGGGGGGAAAATTGTGATACTGGCTTACCTCAGAAATAGTAAGAGACAACCAAGGTGACTCAATCGACACTCAAGAAGCATTGCAGTGGAGAGGAGCATGCCTATGTGTCTGGCTTTCTAACTAATCGACATTTGCTTACGACTTCCGGTTTTTTTATTTCATAATAGTGGACCGATTACTAGTGATCGATTCATACTCATAGCAGGCTTGCTGCGGTTCGAAACCAGCCTTTCTTTGCTGCAACGAAACAAAGAGGCAGAGATGACAAACACTCAGAGGCACCTGGAACCCACCTTGGCGAGAGTGGTGTCTTTGCAGGGACGGGAGGCGAAGAAGGAGCGGAGCAGCGGTTCAGTGCAGAGGTAGCGGATGAAGGGGATGGGAAAGTGGAGAGCCAGAGCAACCCATGACATGGTAAATGCAGAGAGTCACTCTAGAACGGTGGTAGCTGAACTACGTGGGAGGCTACGGGGTTGTACGGGTGACCGATGGTGTTCTCTCTACTTGCGTGTTGACGGGGCAAATTGACAAGAGTTTGACTAAGAAAGTTGAAAATTGTGGTGACTACATCAGGAACACACTAGCAACCTAGGACAAGCAAGTTGACCTCCAGCGCAGCACTAGGCCGGCTTGCAAGCGCCGCAAGTCGGTGGCCTGCCAACGCAGCTGGGAGGCGACTTGCCAACACCGCAAGTCGGCGACCTGCCAGTGTTGCATCAGGGCAGCTTGCCAACGCTGCAGCAAGACGGCTTGTCAGTGTTGCAACCGCAGATGACAATGTGCGCACATGCGCGCACCTACCAAGTAGGTGCAGGCAGATGGTTGCCCAGCGTTGCACCGTCAGGCACATTGCGCCAAGTGGCCAGGTCGACCACATGTTGACGGTTGCTCCAGATGCTCCACGTCGACCACGCGCTATCGCCACGTAGGTCAACTTCAGCATAACCACCTGGACGACGTTCGCACACCCCCGCAGAACTTCGTCGACCAGGTTAATGGGTCGGCCAGAAAGGCCGATAAGTTGGCGGACAATCGGACGACGCCCGCAGGTCGAAAAACATCTTCGTTGATCGCTGAGGTCTGATTTTGCCTGACTTCGCTTTGTCGGCGTCATCACAGTGCTTCCGCCGAAGTCGACCAAGGTCGTCAGCTTCACCCTCTGGTCGATGCCGACCACCACGCTCAGCCGGCCGCACACCTCGTGCGCCCAAGCGAGGGCGGGGCCTTTTCAGGTCAATAGTAACAACCGGCGATTGATGGGGTAGAAACCAAGCTCTGATAGGCAGAGTGAGAAAGAACCCACCTTGGCAAGGGTGGTGACTTTGCAAGGTGGGGAAGCAGAGAAGGAGCGGAGCAGAGGGTCGGTGCAGAGGTAGCGCGTGAGGGGAGGGAAGGGAAGTAGGTGACCTCTTCGGGAGAATGAGAGGCATCAGGAACTGACCTTGGCGAGGGTGGTGACTTTGCAGGGCGGGGAGGCAGAAAAGGAGTGGAGAAGCGGGTCGGTGCAGAGGTAGCGGCAGCCCTGAATGTGGGCTGCTTGCGGGTTGATGTGGTGCCGTTGAAGCGACGCCTCCAGTGCTTCCATCTCCCTCAGCAGCTAATGGGGGGATGGAGGGGAGGGGAAGGGGGGAACGAGAGGGGTGGGAGATGAGGAGAGGAGGAAGGAGAGAAAGAGGAATTTTGTTGAGGGTATGACGAAGACACATGTGTGCTAGGTGGAAAAAAGCGCCAACATTTGAAGATTTATAACATTCTTGCTGTAATGTTTTTTTACATGTAAACGCACAAAACCAAACAAAACAGGAAACAAACAATTACATAACTTTTGTTTGTTTGTTTGTTTGTTTGTTTGTTTGTCTGTTTTTTTTTTTTTTTTTTGTTACCTTTTAGTTTCTTTGTTTTCCTTCCTTCTTTCTATATTTATTTATTTCTCGCTCTCTCTCCTTCTTTCTTTCTTTCTTTCTTTCTTTCTTTCTTTCTTTCTTTCTTTCTTTCTTTCTTTCTTTCTTTCTTTCTTTCTTTCTTTCTTTCTTTCTTTCTTTCTTTCTGTTTTTCTTTCTTTCTTCCTCTCTTTCTTTCCTTCTTTCTTTATGTTTTTTCTTGTTCTAATAGAAGCATGCCCGTACGACGATTCAATTGCCCAAGACATGTGCTTCTTGCCTGTGTGTGCACTGAGTCAGTTTATAACGAGTCAAACAAGCAACAACTCACCTCGGGGTGCAGTGATGCCCGAGCAGCATCATCATTCCTCCTTTGCCCCTCTCTTGTTGTTGCTGCTGCTTCTGTTTTTTGAGAATTCTAAAAAAAACAGATGCTGCTAGTGGTTCCACCACCAGGGCTGTTAGGTCCTTCAAAAAAGAGCACTCCCACCACTCCCACCACTCCCAGCACGTGCATACAAGGCAATCCACTCAACTCACCCCGGGGTGCAGATTCGCTTGACCAGCTTCATCATTCCTCCGCTGTCCCTCCCTTGCACCACGCCCTCCTCCTGCTGCTGCTGCTGTTGCTGCTAGTGGTTCCACCTCCAGGGCTGTCAGGTCCTAGACAAAAAACGCTCAAAGCACGTGCAGACAAGGCAATACACTCAACCCACCTCGGGGTGCAGATTCGCTTGATCAGCTTCATCGTTCCTCCTCTGTCCCTCCCTTGCTCCTGCTGCTGCTGTTGGCAGTAGTGGTTCCACCACCAGTGCTGTCAGGTCCTTCACATAAAACACCCGCAACACTCCCACCACTCCTGCTCCCTTTCCCTCTCCCTCTCCCCCTCCCCCTTCCCCTCCACCCTCCCGCTTTCCACCACCCTTTCCCTTCGCCCCTTCCTCTCCTCGTTCCCCTCCCCCCGCACTTCCCACCCCTCCTCCCGCCCCTCCTCCCCCCACCTCGACTCCCAAAGACCTTAGGTAGACAAGAGGGGGAAGAGGGGTGCTGGTTTGGGGATCTAATCCCCATGCTGACGTGGAAAGGGAGTGACCTGACGTGGATTTGGCCCAGGATGACGGGCGAAGGGGTAGGGGAGGGGAGGTGTAGGGGAGGGGGAAAGGGGAGGAGAGGGTGGGGGGGGTGGAGGCGGATGGGGAAGGGGGGAATGGCTGGTTGGGGTTGGGGCAAGCAGAGGGGGAGAGAGGGGGAGTGTGGGCGAAAGGGGAGAGGTGGGCGAGTGAGGGAGTGGAAGAGGAGCGAGGTAGGGTGGGAGCGAGTGAGGGAGTGAGTGAGGGAGTGAGTGAGGGGCTGAGGAAAGAGGAAGAGGTGCGACGGGGCGAGGGGGAGGAGGGGCGGTGAGAGGAGGGGGAGGAGGAGGCGGAGGAGGAGGAGGCGAAGGGGGAGCGGAAGGGGGAGAGGGAGCGGAGGATGGAAGAGGAGGAGGAGGAAGGGGAGAGGGAGGAGGGGAGAAGGCGCAGGCAGGCATAGGAGTGTAGTGCTGCAGTGTCAGCCTGAGGGTGGGTGAGGGAGAGGGGTGAGGGGGAAACCGGTGGAAAGAAACAAGGGAGGGAAATTACTTTTAAGGTCAATTTCAGGAAAGGGGAGGAGGGGAGAAGGCACGGGCTGCGTAGGAGTGTAGTGCTGCAGTGTCGGCCTGAGGGAGAGAGAGGGGAGAGGGGAGAGGGGAGGGGGAGGGGGAGGGGGGGTAGAAGGGAAGATATCATTTGTTGAGGCACCTCAAAATGGGAGGGGAGAGGGAGGAGGGGAGAAGGAGCAGGGATGAATAGGAGTGTAATGCTACAGTGTCGGCCTGAGGGAGAGGGGGGGGAGAGGGGGGAGAAGAGGAAGAGGGGGGAGACGGGAGGGAGGGAAGGGGGAGAAGTGACACTTGAGTCGACTAAAAACTCGGAGGCTATGCTGCTGTGTCATTCTGAGAAAGAGGGAAGAAGGGTGATAGGTTAGAGGGTGTGAGGTTGGTGAGAGGGGTGAGAAGGGTGAGAGGGGAGAGAGGGGAAGGGAAGGGTTCGTGAAGGGAAGCGGCAAGATCAAAGGAAGTGAGAAAGATAAGGGAAAGCAAGAGCAGCGGCGGTGGACTGTGGAAGGTAAGAAAGGGGCAGCAGCGGCATGTGTGGTTACCGGGGAGAGGGTGGAGGCGAGCATGTGTGGTTACCGGGGAGAGGGTGGAGGCGAGCATGTGTGGTTACCGGGGAGAGGGTGGAGGCGAGCATGTGTGGTTACCGGGGAGAGGGTGGAGGCGAGCATGTGTGGTTACCGGGGAGAGGGTGGAGGCGAGCAGGAGGTTGTGGCAGAGCAGCAGCGCCCCTCCTTGAAAGGCGTCCGCTAGGCGATGGGCGAGTGACTGGTCGGAGGGGGCAGGGGGGAGGTGGGGAGAAGCAGAGCAGGAGCAGGGAGATCGGGTAGAGGCGAGCAGCAGGTTGCGGCAGAGGCAGCAGCGCCCCTCCTTGAAAGGCGTCCGCTAGGCGATGGGCGAGCGACTGGTGGGAGGGGGAGGGAGGGGGGGGGGAGGGGGAGGGCGGAGAAGAGAAGAAGAGCAGGAGAAGGGGGTGGCCGGTGTAAGAGAGAGAACAGAGGAAGAAGCAGCAGGTTGTGGCAGCAGCAGCAGCGCCGCGCCTTGAAAGGCGCTTTCCAGGCGATGGGCGAGTGACTGGTGGGAGGGGCAGGCGGGGAGGGATGGGAGGGAGAAGGGATAAGCAGTGGTGGGGTTGATCTAGAAAAGAGGTTGCGGCAGAGCAGCGGTGCCGCGCCTTGAAAGGCGCCTGCCAGGCGATGGGCGAGTGACTGGTGGGAGGGGGATAGGGATTAGCAAAGCAGGAGAAAAAAGGGAGGGGTGTGAGAGAGAGGAAAGACGACGGGGCAGCAGATAGATGCCTGCTTTGACTGACGGGATCTGGCGATGGGTGAGTGACTGATGGGAGGTGCTGGTATGCATGCAGGGACGAAGGAGTGCCCTGACTCATGATTCGAAGGGCTGCAGTAGTAGAGAGGACACATGAGTCAGGGTATGCATGCAGGGACGAAGGAGTGACTCACGAGAGCAGGCAGCGTGAGGGAGCTTGGAAGATTGAGTTGCAGAGTGTTTTTGAGAATTTGCAAATACACCCTGCAGCATCAAGGAGTGACTCACCAGAGCAGGCAGCGTGAGGGAGCTTGGAAGATTGAGTTGCAGAGTGTTTTTGAGAATTTGCAAATACACCCTGCAGCATCAAGGAGTGACTCACGAGAGCAGGCAGCGTGAGGGAGCTTGGAAGATTGAGTTGGTGGGTGGAGAGGGATTCGATGAGAGCATCAGAGAGGACTGGGCTAAGAGGTATGCATGCAGGGACAAGAGAGTGACTCACAGGAGAGGGGAGTGTGAGGGAGAGGAGAAGATTCAAGTGGCGGCAGGAGAGGCGGTTGGAGAGGGAGTCGAGGAGAGCAGGCAGGCGGACTCGAGGAAGGACGGGGGTTGCAGAGCGGTTGGAAGTGGTGTAGGGGTTGGCTGAACAAGGGAGAACCAGGGCTTACCAGAGCAGGGAGGGTGAGCTGGCGACAGGAGAGGCGGCTGGTGAGGGAGTCGAGGAGAGCAGGCAGGCGGACGCGAGGAGTGGCGGGGGGTGCGGAGTGGTTGGAAGTGGTGTAGGGGTTGGTTGAACAAGGGAGAGCCACGGAGGGCTTACCAGAGCAGGGAGGGTGAGCGAGCGTGGAAGGTTGAGTTGGCGACAGGAGAGGCGGTTGGAGAGGGAGTCGAGGAGAGCAGGCAGGCGCACTCGAGGAGTGGCGGGGGCAGAGAGGGCGAAGGAGAATGCGAGGGCGGAGGGCTCTGGAGAGCCGCCTGGAGGGATGAGGGGGAGGGGAAGGAGTGCGGGCAGGAAAAGGGAAGCACAGGTTGATTCGACTCGAGAATGGACTGGAGGAGTAGCGGGGGCGGAGAGGATAAAGGGGAATGTGGGAGCGGAGGACGCTGGTGACCTGCCTGGATGGATGAGTGGGGAAGGGGGGAAGCAGCGCAGGGGGTGAGGGGAAAATGCAATGAAGCGGGTAAGGAGAAGCACTGAGCTTGAATCGCATATAAATGGACCCAACGAAGGGGCGGGCGGGGGCGGAGGGCAGAGGGGCGGCGGCGGAGAGGGGGGGCTGAGCACGGAGCTTGGGCGGGGGCGGAGAGGGCAAAGGGGAATGCGAGGGCGGAGGGCTCTGGGGAGCCGCCTGGGGGGACACGGGGGAGAGGGAAAGCACTAAGGATCGAGTCGACTGGAAACAAGACTCGAGGAGACGAGGGGGCGGAGAGGGCGAAGGGGAATGCGAGAGCGGGGGACTCTGGGGAGCCGCCTGGAGGTATGAGACAGGGAAGGGAGAAGGAGTGAGGGCAGGAAGAGGGAAGCAGTGAGTTTGAGTGGATACAAGAATGGACCCGAGGAGTGGAGGGGGCGGAGAGGGCGAAGGGGAATGCGAGAGGGGAGGGCTCTTGGGTGCCGCGTGGAGGGGGGAAAAGGGGGAACGGAGGAGGAGTGAGGGCAGGAAGTAAAAAGCACTGGTTGAGGAGACGGGAAAATAAACCCGGGGCGGAGTGGCTGTGGGGGCGGAGAGGGCGAAGGGGAATGCAAGAGCAGAGGGCTCTGGGGACGCGCCTCGAGGGGGGAAGGGGGAAGCAGTGCGGGGGAAAGGGAAATCTCTTGGGAGGTGTGGCGGAGAGGGAGGGAGCAAATCAGAATTCAGATGAGGAAGTAAAAAAATGCTCCCAAAGAGACACGCACCTGTGAGGAAGTCCGGCAGAAAGGCTTGCAGGCAAGCACGTGCTAGATCGGCTGAGGGAGGATTGGCCGATGGGGCGGCATGTGAAAGAGAATCTTGTGACAGGGTGTTGGACTGAGATTCTGCTGAAGGATTTGATGAGGGCTCAGCAGTTGTTGCTGCTGAGGGGTGATTTGATGAGGTTCCGGTGGCTGATGGTGCAGTAGCTGGTGCTGTTGAGGGGTGAGTCGGGGGGTGGGGTTGCTGCTGTTGCTGCTGTTGCAACAGGCGGTCGATGCTGCCGAAGAAGAGACAAAAGAGCGCATGCGCCTCCACCAGATACTGCCGAAGAGCCTCGTCGCGCACTGTAGCGTCAGGCGGCACGATGCCGTTCACCCCCCGACACTCCACCACCTGCGATATGGGTGGGGTGGAGGGGAGGGTAGGCATCAGGAAATGGGAGCAGGGAGGAATGGGGAGCATGGGGAAAAGGCTGGCAGCACAACGCCGTTCACCCGCCGACACTCCATCCATCACCAGCAGCACTCACCATGAATATGCAAGGCCCCACCATGCCAGCACACCACCAGCAGCACTCACCATGAATATGCAAGGCCCCACCATGCCAGCACACCACCAGCAGCACTCACCATGAATATGCAAGGCCCCACCATGCCAGCACACCACCACCAGCACTCACCATGAATATGCAAGGCCCCACCATGCCAGCACACCACCAGCAGCACTCACCATGAATATGCAAGGCCCCACCATGCCAGCACACCACCAGCAGCACTCACCATGAATATGCAAGGCCCCACCATGCCAGCACACCACCAGCAGCACTCACCATGAATATGCAAGGCCCCACCATGCCAGCACACCACCAGCAGCACTCACCATGAATATGCAAGGCCCCACCATGCCAGCACACCACCAGCAGCACTCACCATGAATATGCAAGGCCCCACCATGCCAGCACACCACCAGCAGCACTCACCATGAATATGCAAGGCCCCACCATGCCAGCACACCACCAGCAGCACTCACCATGAATATGCAAGGCCCCACCATGCCAGCACACCACCAGCAGCACTCACCATGAATATGCAAGGCCCCACCATGCCAGCACACCACCAGCAGCACTCACCATGAATATGCAAGGCCCCACCATGCCAGCACACCACCAGCAGCACTCACCATGAATATGCAAGGCCCCACCATGCCAGCACACCACCAGCAGCACTCACCATGAATATGCAAGGCCCCACCATGCCAGCACACCACCAGCAGCACTCACCATGAATATGCAAGGCCCCACCATGCCAGCACACCACCAGCAGCACTCACCATGAATATGCAAGGCCCCACCATGCCAGCACACCACCAGCAGCACTCACCATGAATATGCAAGGCCCCACCATGCCAGCACACCACCAGCAGCACTCACCATGAATATGCAAGGCCCCACCATGCCAGCACACCACCAGCAGCACTCACCATGAATATGCAAGGCCCCACCATGCCAGCACACCACCAGCAGCACTCACCATGAATATGCAAGGCCCCACCATGCCAGCACACCACCAGCAGCACTCACCATGAATATGCAAGGCCCCACCATGCCAGCACACCACCAGCAGCACTCACCATGAATATGCAAGGCCCCACCATGCCAGCACACCACCAGCAGCACTCACCATGAATATGCAAGGCCCCACCATGCCAGCACACCACCAGCAGCACTCACCATGAATATGCAAGGCCCCACCATGCCAGCACACCACCAGCAGCACTCACCATGAATATGCAAGGCCCCACCATGCCAGCACACCACCAGCAGCACTCACCATGAATATGCAAGGCCCCACCATGCCAGCACACCACCAGCAGCACTCACCATGAATATGCAAGGCCCCACCATGCCAGCACACCACCAGCAGCACTCACCATGAATATGCAAGGCCCCACCATGCCAGCACACCACCAGCAGCACTCACCATGAATATGCAAGGCCCCACCATGCCAGCACACCACCAGCAGCACTCACCATGAATATGCAAGGCCCCACCATGCCAGCACACCACCAGCAGCACTCACCATGAATATGCAAGGCCCCACCATGCCAGCACACCACCAGCAGCACTCACCATGAATATGCAAGGCCCCACCATGCCGGCACACCACCAGCAGCACTCACCATGAATATGCAAGGCCCCACCATGCCAGCACACCACCAGCAGCACTCACCATGAATATGCAAGGCCCCACCATGCCAGCACACCACCAGCAGCACTCACCATGAATATGCAAGGCCCCACCATGCCAGCACACCACCAGCAGCACTCACCATGAATATGCAAGGCCCCACCATGCCAGCACACCACCAGCAGCACTCACCATGAATATGCAAGGCCCCACCATGCCAGCACACCACCAGCAGCACTCACCATGAATATGCAAGGCCCCACCATGCCAGCACACCACCAGCAGCACTCACCATGAATATGCAAGGCCCCACCATGCCAGCACACCACCAGCAGCACTCACCATGAATATGCAAGGCCCCACCATGCCAGCACACCACCAGCAGCACTCACCATGAATATGCCAGGCCCCACCATGCCAGCACACCACCAGCAGCACTCACCATGAATATGCCAGGCCCCACCATGCCAGCACACCACCAGCAGCACTCACCATGAATATGCAAGGCCCCACCATGCCAGCACACCACCAGCAGCACTCACCATGAATATGCAAGGCCCCACCATGCCAGCACACCACCAGCAGCACTCACCATGAATATGCAAGGCCCCACCATGCCAGCACACCACCAGCAGCACTCACCATGAATATGCCAGGCCCCACCATGCCAGCACACCACCAGCAGCACTCACCATGAATATGCCAGGCCCCACCATGCCAGCACACCACCAGCAGCACTCACCATGAATATGCCAGGCCCCACCATGCCAGCACACCACCAGCAGCACTCACCATGAATATGCAAGGCCCCACCATGCCAGCACACCACCAGCAGCACTCACCATGAATATGCCAGGCCCCACCATGCCAGCACACCACCAGCAGCACTCACCATGAATATGCCAGGCCCCACCATGCCAGCACACCACCAGCAGCACTCACCATGAATATGCAAGGCCCCACCATGCCAGCACACCACCAGCAGCACTCACCATGAATATGCAAGGCCCCACCATGCCAGCACACCACCAGCAGCACTCACCATGAATATGCAAGGCCCCACCATGCCAGCACACCACCAGCAGCACTCACCATGAATATGCCAGGCCCCACCATGCCAGCACACCACCAGCAGCACTCACCATGAATATGCCAGGCCCCACCATGCCAGCACACCACCAGCAGCACTCACCATGAATATGCAAGGCCCCACCATGCCAGCACACCAGCAGCAGCACTCACCATGAATATGCAAGGCCCCACCATGCCAGCACACCACCAGCAGCACTCACCATGAATATGCCAGGCCCCACCATGCCAGCACACCACCAGCAGCACTCACCATGAATATGCAAGGCCCCACCATGCAAGCACACCACCAGCAGCACTCACCATGAATATGCCAGGCCCCACCATGCCAGCACACCACCAGCAGCACTCACCATGAATATGCCAGGCCCCACCATGCCAGCACACCACCAGCAGCACTCACCATGAATATGCAAGGCCCCACCATGCCAGCACACCACCAGCAGCACTCACCATGAATATGCAAGGCCCCACCATGCCAGCACACCACCAGCAGCACTCACCATGAATATGCAAGGCCCCACCATGCCAGCACACCACCAGCAGCACTCACCATGAATATGCCAGGCCCCACCATGCCAGCACACCACCAGCAGCACTCACCATGAATATGCAAGGCCCCACCATGCCAGCACACCACCAGCAGCACTCACCATGAATATGCCAGGCCCCACCATGCCAGCACACCACCAGCAGCACTCACCATGAATATGCCAGGCCCCACCATGCCAGCACACCACCAGCAGCACTCACCATGAATATGCCAGGCCCCACCATGCCAGCACACCACCAGCAGCACTCACCATGAATATGCCAGGCCCCACCATGCCAGCACACCACCAGCAGCACTCACCATGAATATGCCAGGCCCCACCATGCCAGCACACCACCAGCAGCACTCACCATGAATATGCCAGGCCCCACCATGCCAGCACACCACCAGCAGCACTCACCATGAATATGCAAGGCCCCACCATGCCAGCACACCACCAGCAGCACTCACCATGAATATGCCAGGCCCCACCATGCCAGCACACCACCAGCAGCACTCACCATGAATATGCAAGGCCCCACCATGCCAGCACACCACCAGCAGCACTCACCATGAATATGCCAGGCCCCACCATGCCAGCACACCACCAGCAGCACTCACCATGAATATGCCAGGCCCCACCATGCCAGCACACCACCAGCAGCACTCACCATGAATATGCAAGGCCCCACCATGCCAGCACACCACCAGCAGCACTCACCATGAATATGCAAGGCCCCACCATGCCAGCACACCACCAGCAGCACTCACCATGAATATGCAAGGCCCCACCATGCCAGCACACCACCAGCAGCACTCACCATGAATATGCAAGGCCCCACCATGCCAGCACACCACCAGCAGCACTCACCATGAATATGCAAGGCCCCACCATGCCAGCACACCACCAGCAGCACTCACCATGAATATGCAAGGCCCCACCATGCCAGCACACCACCAGCAGCACTCACCATGAATATGCAAGGCCCCACCATGCCAGCACACCACCAGCAGCACTCACCATGAATATGCAAGGCCCCACCATGCCAGCACACCACCAGCAGCACTCACCATGAATATGCAAGGCCCCACCATGCCAGCACACCACCAGCAGCACTCACCATGAATATGCCAGGCCCCACCATGCCAGCACACCACCAGCAGCACTCACCATGAATATGCCAGGCCCCACCATGCCAGCACACCACCAGCAGCACTCACCATGAATATGCCAGGCCCCACCATGCCAGCACACCACCAGCAGCACTCACCATGAATATGCAAGGCCCCACCATGCCAGCACACCACCAGCAGCACTCACCATGAATATGCAAGGCCCCACCATGCCAGCACACCACCAGCAGCACTCACCATGAATATGCCAGGCCCCACCATGCCAGCACACCACCAGCAGCACTCACCATGAATATGCCAGGCCCCACCATGCCAGCACACCACCAGCAGCACTCACCATGAATATGCAAGGCCCCACCATGCCAGCACACCACCAGCAGCACTCACCATGAATATGCAAGGCCCCACCATGCCAGCACACCACCAGCAGCACTCACCATGAATATGCAAG